GACGTTGATCATGCGCGCCCGTAGGTGCCAAGTCCAAGAATGCACATGCAGCAGGTTGAGAAAGGCTTTATGTCCTGAGCTATCGAAAGGTTGCCTCTCTTATCACCGTGACCCCTCCGATAGGCCTAACGATATCGCCACCTTGCGCACAGCGGTGACGACACTCGGCGGCCGCTTCACTCTCATGTGTGCGGATTAGTCCTTCAAGAATGCACAGGCAGGACCTGCTTCCACGATTTTTAACGAGGGGTATATCGCCAGATATTTCCTGTATGAGTACTGTACTTCATGATTCTGCATGAATACTCGGAGGAGTACATTGAATACAATGCGTAAGGGGAGCCTACACTCGAGAAGGAATTGAGAGAGCGATCTGGGAATTTCAGGGTCGTTTTGAATCATAAAAAGAACGATCGATCGATCGATGCACTGTTAGAAAAATCTACAGTAATTCGTACAGGACGGCCAATCAATTTTAATATGGTCATGACTGTATTTAATTTTACAGTCTTACTGTTTTAAACTTTACAGTCCGACCTGTTACCACCTGTAACAGTCTGCACTGTATTGCAGAATACGGTCAGACTCCATATGCCGCTTGCGAGCGTACTCCATCGCATTCTGGAGAAAATATTTAGATTTTTTACCGTTTTTTGCTAAAAAGCGTCAGTTTTCGCTATTTTCATCATGGTTTTGAATGGGAACGAGTTAGAGTACAACGGCAAGCGGCATGTGGTCTGACTCGGTTTTGAGCGTAGATCACGTTCCTGACAACGGTTGTAGTCCACAAAAATTATTTTGAGCCCTAGGCCAAATATGTGTTTTTTTCTTAAGATTGCCCATAAGAAACTAACGTTAAACTTTGAATCCGTTTCGGGAGGGTCAAATATTGTCCGATTTCGCTCAAATTTTGACAGAAGGCCTTTTTCTTGTGGGAGCACCCAATGAGACATGAAAACTTGGAAATTTTTACCATGACCCTTCCTCTGAACGACCCTGGCAACACGCGTGCTTGGAGCGCGTGGAGTGGACTACTCAGAGAGCAAGTCGTCCATTCAACTTTCGCTTCAAAAACAAAAAAAACAACGTGCGTCAGCAGGCACGTCGGGGCGTGGTCCTTGTACGTCCCGTTGCCGTCAGTCAGACGGAGAGTCAGGTGAGAGGGGCGCCCCAGGCCTGGCCGCTGACACCGCGCGGGGGCCCCACGGAGCTCCGGGCCGTTGTATCGCCCACCACGACAAGGGATTGTGACAAGACCAGGGGCCGCCACTCGCAAACCCCCCTGGGCACGACCAAACTCGGATCCGCCACACACACACCGGGGAGAGGATAGGGCGAGCGTGGGAGGTGAAAGAGGGGGATGAAAATAAGAAGAAAGCAAAGAGAGAGGGCGGGAGCGGAGAGGGTACGGGTCCCAGAGGTGGCCCACAACTCCACATCTCTCGTGTTTGGTCTCAAGGTGCCCGGGGGGACCTGGGGGGAGGGCCGACCTGACGCTCTCCTCCGGCTCCCACCCTCCCGCTCCGCTTCCAATCTCCGATGCTCGCCTGTTCCCTCGACTGCCGGGCTTGTCCGATTTAAGGACAAAGTAACAAAACAAAAACGACGGAGGTGTGAAACTTACACCAATTAACTTTTAATCAAAATTTAATTCGGTGAACACACACTGCTCCGGTGTGATGAGAAGATGTCGAAGGTTTGTTTGCAGAGTATAGGTGCAGCGCTGGGGGCCTGTGGGACACCCCCGGGGACACCCTCGGCGGCCGCGGCTCCGCGGGACTTCAAAGGGAAATCTTGGACAAACATATAAATAAATATCCCGCGACCTGAAAGGGCTTTCAACCTGAGAGCGCCCCCCGGGGACGGCCCGCCGATATCCCCGCCCCACCCCGCACTGCGAAACCTTCGCAAAACATTACCTTCCCCGGCGCCACGCCGCTACGGCCCCGCTGGACACTCTGAGTGGACGGAAGGGCCCCTAAAACCCTTCCGGAGAAGGCGCTTCCGCAGAGGGCCCGCCAAGGACCACAGGGGGCCGGCCACCTAGCGCAGATATCGACGGCCGACCGCGAGTTCGTGTTCGACTTCGAGTTCATCCACATTCGAGTTCAA